GTCGAGTAAGGAAAACGATAGGGAAGGGTCCAATCCAAAGCCGGATCAAACCACAGTCGGTTTTAAAAGCGTATTTTCGAAAATAATATTCCATTTGATATGTAAACTCTAGACATTTGATATTAAATTATGACATGCAAATTTTTTCTAAAATTCGTTACTAACCTTATTTACTCATGAGTAAACTTAATAATCAACCTTACCAACTTGATTGGCACTGAATGCCAAGCAATTTCCAAACAATGGAATTGTCTTTGGTCCAGGCATTTTGTTAACATTGTCATAAATATGCTTTATATACCGATACTTCTCTAGTAGCTGATGTCTTTTCAGCATCAAGCATATTATTAAAACTGTTAAAACTCCGACGATTACTATCATCACTGAAATACCTGGTTACAAGATTATTTTTAAAATAATTGCAAAACTAGGAAAAAAGCATTATTTTTTTCAGATTTTAAGGAAGTCTTCTTGATGAGAAAGTAGCTTCAGCACAAACTTCAAAGCAATGAGCAAAAAATTCTCTCCTCAAAATTTAAAGTGAAAAAAACAGGAGCCGTTTTCATCCCGCCTAAACGTAATTTTTTTATGTAATTGGTAACATTTTTGTTCGTACAAAGTTTAAATTTACTACTTTAAAACCTGTTACCACAAGTCGACGCTTGAAATATAAAGTTTAAGCCAAAGGTTCAATAAAACTGAAGGCAAATTAAATCTGCCAACTAGTATTTAAGTTTGTTAAAAGCGTAGCATTGAAATCAAATGCAAGTGGTAGCAAAAAACTAGTATTTTTTTCATATCTAAAAGATGGTTCATTCTAAAATACCTCGACACGTTGACAAACTTTTCTAAAAAAACAGTGTTCTCAAAAACATAGTTTACCAACTGATGTTCGACTTTAGGTGATAGCAAAAAACCAGTATTTTTTTTAATATTAAAAAAATGGTTGATTAAAACTTTTAGGAATTCTGCTAAGTCTTTAAATAAAAGTTTTTGAATACAAAATACGGTGATAAAACAGTAAGACAGTTGAGGGGATAAGTGTGTGAAGGTTATAGCGCCTAAAAATTTTATGATAGTTAAATAGCAGTTACATTATATATTAAAAACCGGTTTTTAATCAACTAATGATTTTAGAATTGTTTTTGTTTATTTGAAAATATGGCGTTCTGAACTAAGAAATTAACAGCTGAAATTGTCCGCTGATACTATCACCTATGGTTGAATGAAATCCTGTCAAGAATGAAACTACTTTGAAAAGTCTTTTAAAGTAGAATAACCTTCTAGAGCACTGCAAAAGTCAAATACTAAAGTCCTGACTAGCAAAACTTTAGACAATGAAGACAAAAGCCAGTCAAGATCACATTTTTATAAAACACTTTCATTATTCTGCTTGTTCATTGATTTGACACTCAGGGAGACTAATAAAACATCACATTCGCAGCTGAGCCCTTAGGGATTCCGCGGTATGTGGTGGGTCGACGTTGGGCAGCGAAAGTTCACCGGCTAAACTGTATAGCGGTTTAGCTATATATGCTCGATTAATCTTGGGTCCTCTCAAAATGGCATGATAACGCCATCGCTACCAAACAAAAATTCAACAAAAAAATCTCTTTTAGTCAAAACCATATACTATGGCAAAACTTGTCTTTTTCAAACAAGCAACTTTATACGTCATGGTGCTTCCTATATGACCTTTACTTAGTAGAAAAACTTTATGCAACAAATGAAGAAAGAGTATGGGTTCCTGTGCACTGTTGTATAGCGCTATGTGCATATAACGGTTATTTTTTTTTCTTTTTGAAGAAGGTAAGCTTCAAAAAGCGGGTGCTGCATAAGTGAGAGCTGGATTTTTGACTTGCGAAGTACTTTAGAGACTTGTAGAAATAGAGCAGGTAAAGAGTTGAACAAAACGAAGTTTATTTTTTTTGTCCTCCTTGTTCACCTCTACTAAAAATCAGAACTTAGTTGTAACACCTCGTGCTTTGAATGGGTAACCCTAAAAACACTATATTACTAAAAATATTTTTAGGAACCGGTACTATGTATTACCATTAGCAAATCTAGATTTTATAAAGGAAGACTTCTGAACTTCTGAGTATCAAAGAGCAATTAGGCAGACCAAAGTCACTGCATAGTGCATTTGCCTAGTATCGCCATACTGACCAAACGTTGTGGTAACCAGCAAATCCAACCAGCAAATCCCTGTTATCACACAGCAGTTCCATTGAAACCACTCATTTTAAATAACTAAGGAAGTCTTCGAAGGACCAAAACGAAAATTAACATTTGGCTAGAGTGCTATTACTTGTAAACATTAAATACAACATATACCAATGAAAAAAATGATTTGTTTTTGGAGAAAAAACAATATCACCGTTGCAGTTGATGTGTAAAAATCGTTGTGGAAGTGATTTACACCCAATTTTTTTAATTGTTCAATTAAAAGATTAGTTCTTCTTTTTAGAAAGTTTCCGGTGCCCTCCTACTTTCTTCTCTTAATATTTATTTCTTCATTGTCTTCGTTAAAATCTTACAAGTCCTCCTCCAGCTTTTTTCTGATTTTCTGGTTTGCTGACCCAGCTTGAACGATTAGATATTTCAAAGTGCAGTCGTAATTTCATAAACACTTTCACAAGAACAAAAAAATTACCAAATTTTAAAATTTGCCATGAGAAGTTCTGTAAAGCATTATTCAATTTCATTTACTTCAAAAAAAAGCTATTGAGAAGATTCACCGCTTAATGAGACTCGTCTGAACGTCAGTCTCCTCCTCCTTTTCCCACCAATACAGCAAAAGAAAAAAAAAGAAAAAAAAACGACAGATTAACATTGTTTTAAAACATTCAGAAAACAAAATCACAAACAAGTTTGTTTAGGTGACACTTTTTGAAAAAGTCACTATGGCATAAGATGTTTAGAACGGCTTACTGTTTAAACTAATTGGTTTTATCAGTTGCTCAGCAATTAAATAATTTAAAAACTGTGCTTTCTGAACAGTTTGTTTTTTTCTGCTCCCTACAAATGAAAACTTTAAGCGGTGTTTAGACCATTTATATTCCGAGCACCGACTTTATGAAGCACCATACACCACCGACGTTCTTCCACAACAATAACAGATTTGTGAAACAATTTCGTCAACCATTTTGTGATGGGCGGCTACGCGTGGGATCACAACACTTTTCAGCTAAAATCAAAAGATTTCCTAAAGTACGGCTGATTATTTGATCCAAACAGTTGCTTTAGGAAATTGAAAATGAATTCTGGGAAAGCGGGTTTTCTGTCAGTCTGTGACTCATCAAATAAACGATATTTTTGATACATGTTAGAGGCGTTTTACGATTAGCGACTTCGTTGCCTACGTACAAATTTTTCCAATGCTAGACTAAGATTAAAAAAAAAAAGCTCGTGCATATTTGAAAGTTAGATTCTCATGTACTGTTTTCTAAACCAAAATATAGATAGTAGAAAATTTTACAAATAGAAACAATTTTTGATTACCTTTGGAAAAGATTACTCTTGGACCGAATGAAAAGTTCAAGAGGGAACGAATTGGGGGGACGAGCGTTACAGTAATGTTGTTCTTACGCTGCACTATAGACAGTTATGAAAATGACTGGGTTACTCCTCCGCGATGATAGAATTTATCAACTTTTGTCTTTAGATAGTTTCCATCTTATTGGAACCTATAGACTATTGTTTTTTAAAAAATATTGCATAAGATGTAGTCTGCTTTGATGATAATTAAAAAGTGAACGTATTTGACACTTAATCATATCTTCGCAAAAACATGCAAAAAAAAAACGTTTTTTCTTTTACTCTCCTTCTATTTCGCAATTGAAAGCAGTCATTTTTTCAAATAATCACTTCAACTTGAACCAAAAATCATTACTAAATAAGTAAGTGCTGCAAAATAATTTTTTAATTTATTGTAAATTTCACACATTATTTATCGCCTTTTTACATTCGCAAAACAAAATAAACAGTAACAGAGTGCTAAATGATAAGAGAACTATTGTCTCGTCTTAAATTTAAGTGTTATTATTTGTTCTGATTTTTGATTCCAGCGAATTGTTCAGTAATTATTATTTGCAAAAGATGTGGTAAAAAACTAAACTTCTTTTCTCACACCCAAATTCGACACTTATTACTAGCAAAAAGACTTTGTAAATGATTTGATCAGAAGCTTTCCGCTGCTGGGTGGCTCTAGTTAGAGCTGAGAATAAAGAAAAAAAGAGTTGTTTTTCTTAATTATTCGACTATGAATATTACTTGTATTAGCCGTTCATAAATTCCTGCATTTGAATGGCCATAAGAACATTATTTTCAGAGAAATTTTTTGGGTATCAAATTGCGCTCAAGTTCGCGCTGAACCAGTGAAATACAAGTTTCATTGGTCACTACACAATTAATGCTTTTACAATATTACGGTTGTTTCAAATACTAAACAGAGAGCAAAGTATTGAAAAGAAAGTCTGGTTAACAGTGAAAAACAAGTATATTTCTCCTTTTTTAGATTGATAGTTTATTTGAACAGTTTCTTGTTAAGTTCTCGACAGAATAGAAAAGGTGAATTATACATTCTAGAAGTCGGTAGCAGTTATATGACCCACTGAATACCATTTATTATCGGTCAATAAAATTAAAGCTATTGTCGTATGGACAAAAAAGTCAGATAATTGGTTAAGCCAAAAATTAAGAACAAGAAGTTACTGCTTCAACTTCTATCAGTAGTATGGAAAATCTTGTTGCTGAAGATTAGTTGTTAACATTTCGACAACTATATCGGAAGTAAACAATTTTTAGTTTTTCTAGCTGCAAAATAAAAAATTCTTAAAAAAATTTGGTGAGAATGCGGGATTTTTTTTATTAGCTCTGTAAATGTTTAAAAATTAAAAAAATTTCTGTTTTTTCTGAAGCAATATGGTTGAATCATAAAGTAGAGGTATGAACCAAAGATACCTGTTTTTGAATAGCTGTCAATACTTTTGAACGATCTAAAGAAAAGCGAGGCTGACGTGAACCTGGTGTGAGAAAAAAACTGAGGTTTAAACAGCACGTACTAATAATATAAAATAATAAGTAACTGTGGTTTGGCGTCACAATAATTCACAATAGTTTATTATTGACTATTGGTGCTTTACTGTATTTTTGAAGTTCAAGGGTGTTCTGCCATTTTTGCTGACGTACTATGCAGATGACCTTGGAAGATGAAGTTGGCCTGAAATTTTTGTCTTTGAGAAACATCTAATCTATACTGTGCTTCAAAAAAAAAAGAAAATTAAAAACACTCAAGGTTTTTCTCAGCAGTACTTTCGTTTAAAACCGCTTATCAATATATGCGCTCAAGTTTTTTTTTAAAAGAAATAAATACCGGTTCT